TCTCGGCCTAGTGGCATTGGCACAGCAGGATTTCGAGCTGGCTGAAGAGCGTTTCGAGTTGCTAAAGGCCCAGCTGATGATGCCCCATTCGGTGCAGCACAGCCATGTGTTCTATCAGCTTGCCAAGTTGCAGGAACGCCGATTGGGTGGTGGGTTCCAGGGTAACGCATCGCCGGGAGCTGCATTGCAAGCCTACCTCCAGGTGCTCGGCATCTCCGCCGCTGACATCGATTCGCGACTGTTCGAGAAGGTAGGTTCGCTCTACGAGCAGATTCAGGACCACCAGGAGGCCAATCAGTACTATCACGAGGCGTATCGCATAAACATGAGCGACATCAATATCGCCAGCAGTATTGGCTCCTACTACATCAAGCTGCAGGCCACGGAAAAGGCGCTATACTATTACGAACGAGCGGTTTTAGCTGATCCTAACGATCCCAATCTGATGCTACGTATTGCCAGCTGCTTTCGTAACTCATATCTGCCGCCCAAGCAGTATTTGGGAATGTTCCAGAAGATCCACGCCCGCTTTCCGGACAACCTCACGTGCGTACGGGCTCTGATGCAAGTGACCAAGTCGCTGGGCCTGGGAGATTTGCACGAGCGGTATGCCGTGGAATATGCACGCTTACAAAAGCAGCAGCAGGAACGTCAGAACGAGCACCGATACCAGCAACAGCGCCTCTCCTCAGCGGCCTCGAATAGCAGCCGCCTGCGAAGTAAGTTGGTGTACATTGCTTTAAAAGGAATTATATATTACTTAGTAAATATTTGAGCTCACATTCTATCTTATCTTGTAGCCATCAGGCAGTCAAATGAGGAACGCTTGCAGGAGAACAACGACATCTCCAAGAGCATGACCTATACGCAAAGTCCAGCCACGTATTCAGGTAAAGTTGTGTCATCCTGTTTGAGATCTTCTGTAAGTAACTTTGGATTGCTTACAGTTCAGCAGTTCGATCCTTTGGGACCTCCTGCAGAACGTCCTCGAACTGGCAGAGCTCAGCAGAGCAGAGACGATTCAGATGATGATGCGGAAATGAATGCCGAAAGCTTGTTGCCTATTTAAAAACATCCTCTTAACTTGTTGTTATATCAAGGGACAAGTCTGTACAATTAATAAACCATTAGCGAGCAAGTACCTTCGTTTAATGCACAAAATTAAGATTGTTTAAACCTTTTGTATATGGTTAAGAAGATTCTCTCAAATGTCTTCTGAAAATTCCGTATCACATCACTGAAACTCGACTGATAATAATCGAAATTCTCAACTATCTCCCAATCGATCTGAAAATCCGTCTTTAATCCATTTAAACCTTACGTATTTAGTTTGGTTTACTTTTATCTTTATTACGCTCTCAAGGCCAATAATACATACATTTTTGTGTTCTGATATTATAAGATTTGAAAATTTAAAATTTCGACTGCTTGGATTGAAAATTGTCGCCTTGGTATCGTCAATGGCGTATAGTACGTAACCACCATCATAACCTTGTCCTTGCTCGATTTCACCTTATTTGAATGACACGCTAGTAAAATTTAAGTGATTGGTTTATGGAGTAAAATATGTGCTTCTATTGCAAGTTTAAAATTTTGTGTTCTGTTCTCATCAAGAAAATTCGGTCAAATCGACAAATCCAAAATAATTTCATTTCACAATACAAAGTTTTGACAATTACAGACACATTAACAGCATTATAGATCGTACTTTTTGATATTCTTCACCCAACATTATACTTGCTGATTTTCTATTTCCCTCTTTCTCTCGTTCCTAGACAAAACAAACCACTTCAACTTCTACAAATCAAAAGGAACAAAACAAAATGGATCGTTTCTCATATTCACAGACAGCTTCCAATTATCAAAATCAATCTTAATTTTCTCTCTAACGATTTGCCTTCCATTCTCCTTCAATTCCATTCCTAACCTGCCCCAAAATAAGCTGATGCCCTTCTCTTAGAAGCTCATGTAGCCACGGGAGGTGGAGCGACGCCTAGCACACAGATAAGAGATTAGAACGACCAGAATAAGTGCAGCCAGGGCAATTCCAACGGCAATGGGCACTACGTCAGACGTCTCGGAGCTGTCGCAGTCGTGCACGGTTGAGAATCCAGTGGCGTTGGTCGACCGGAACGCTTCCACCTGGACTTGACTGACGCTGATCCATCCAATCAGCTCCTTAGCATCGATGGTCTCGGTCAGATTCAGCTTCTGAACTCGTGTGCAATGGTAGGACATCTTTTCGGGAGTCTTGAACTCTCCATCGCTCCTATGAATTAGCTGAAGCGTTTGATTTTCTGCAATATCAAGATTATTTAAGTTTTCTTTATATACAAAAATTTATAATCTATATACCCTTGGCATCGGGGAAGTCCTCAGCAAGCAAGGTCAGATGGATTTGAATGGAGGAGAGCACAGTGGTGTCGTTCTTCTTGTCGAAATACATCAGCAACGATTGCTTGGAAGTATTGGGTCCCCAAATCAGATGAACATTCTGGATGGTCGGTCTGTCGCACTCTTTGTCTTCAACCGTGGCGTTGCTGGGGATGTTGTAAAGACCGTGGGTAAGGTTTCCATCTGAAGAAGAAAAAGTATTTTTCTTTAGTCAGGTTTCTCTGCACAAAGTTCTGTCTGTAAGAATGTAATTATTGTTGTCTTAAAGACAGAAAATTTGTTATAGTTAGGTTACAAGCTTTAAAAAACGTTCTTTGAAAACGCTGTTCGGACTTGAAGTAACGTTAAACATACTTAAATTCTAAATGTTTCCTTACTCTTATCCTCGTAGGTGAAGTTAAGCTGGGCTGCCATTTGGAGCATAATGCAGGAGGCATTCCAAGTGCCCACAGAGGGCGCCGGATATGGTTGTGGAGCATGGGTCGTGGTTGGCACTGGTGCTGGTGTGGTCGTCGTCTTTGGTGGCTCAGTGGAGGTTGTGGGGGTGGTCGGCGGGATCGTCGATGTTGAACTGGTGGTGATTGGCTTCTCTGTAGTTGTAGAAGTCGTTGATGTTGAGGTGGATGCGGTTGTGCTATTGGTCGATGGTTGTTCCGATGTCGTTTCAGGAGTCTTGAAATTCGGCAAACCAATCAGTGTTTGGGAGAGCACTAAAAAAAAGGGTTACGAATTTTAAAATTTTATGTCTGTTTAATGAATTAGATTTTTTCCAATTAAACCCTTTTTAAACTAGAGGCAGCATTAAAAACTGTCTATTCCAATGGAAACGATAATTAAGAGGTAATTTTAGATCTTCCGAATTAAATCTAGAATATGTGTAACGATCTGCAATCATTGCATTACATTTGTTTCATTTGAACGAAACTCTTTACCAGTAACCATGAATGTGAGTCATTCTGCACTGGATGAATAATTTATTTCCGTTTTCACAGAGTGATAAGAGAAGAATCGAATGATATGTGCGCTGAGCAGCACAAGTTGTCACTAGTTGCAGATGTGTATATTTGCTGACAATATTTAAGTGAATATACGAGTTAAAAGGAGAATGGAATGTCATTCAGTGCCGTGGTTTCGTTGCTCGATTGATGATAAAGCCAACAAAAGAAGTCACTTTTCCAGCCACAAAGTTCAGTTTTATCTATGTAGCTTTTCTGCTTTTCTTTTTACTACTCGTATTTCAAAAACAAATCAAAGTCCAACGTGTTCTTGCTTCTCCATCAGTTTAAGTGAGTCATACACTAATTGAAGCAGTTTTTTACTTTATATACCTATTATTTTTCTACATGGAATCTGTTTTAAGCTCAGAACTCAATGTGCGGTCACGGATCCACCCACGGCCCCCCGTTCTAGTTCAATGCCGTTTGGTAATGCAGTCCAGAGAGATGACCTTTAAATGCAAGTTAAGCAAGCAAATAGCACAGACTGAGGAAAGCAGACAGAAGACAGCAGACACGGGGCGTGTCGCGCCTTAGACATGTAATACACTTTTCCGGCGAAGAGGGAAAAATGCTGGGAAAATAAATCGCATGTGGTAATAAGATTTATTCTCCACTGCCATGCAGGAAGAGTGCAAGTGTTGTTTTTTAGAAGGAACAGAGGAATCCGTAGGATAGGATATAGTTTATTTTCGTTCGTTGTGTTTACTTTATTATTTCAACTTTCCTGTGAAGGTCAAGTTTTGAAAGTCATTTGAATTGTTATGGATAAGCATGTGAGATTGCATTGGTTAGATGGACTTAGTAATTAACCATATTAACCATTAATAATCGTTTAAATGAATCAGAGTTGTCATCTTTTCAGTTTCAGGTTTAGGTCTACAGTTTTTGCTGATGGATTCTAACCCCCTGATAAGTTTTGCGGTCTTGGTGGTGTTCTTAAAACTTTCCGATAAACTTAGTACTTAACCATTAATAAGCGGTTAAATGAAACATAGTGGTTTCATCTTTTGGGTTTAAGGTTTAGGTCTACAGTTTTTGCTGACGGATTCTAGCCTCCCTGGTAAGTTTTGCAGTCTATAATTGAATTATTTTGCACAACATGTTGGTGGTGTTCCTAAAACTTTCCGATTCTATTGGTATCAGCAAGACTATCGCACATATAAAATAATGTGTGCCACATGCGGGATCTACATACATTATAGAGGTACTTAAGTAGTTGTGAAATCAAATGCAAATACCCCGGCCTATGGAGATTAGGAGTGGAAAAATAGCAGCCATGCCCAGACCGCAAGAACTAGAAATCGGAGACTGCAAATGACATCAACCAGAAGCGGAGTAGTGACAGTACCAGGGGGAATTACCGTCCACAAAAGACGCCCCCATGGGCGATAAGCGGAGAACAATGGGCCAGCGAGTTGGGCAAATAAATAACAATTTAGAAGCTGCCGAGAATCAAGTGTAATTATATAGCTGACGAAGGGAGGCGAAGGCAGAGCGATGATAAATAGAATGGGCCTGCATGGCGATGGCGGGATGTACGGGATGTATGGGATGTATGGCTTTATCTAGCTATTCTCGGGATGCAGTATGCACTAGTCGGTGCCAAAAGAGTGGGGTGGGGAAGGGACCTGGGGGCCGTAACAACGGTAAGAGCCACCATTTTGAACCCACTAGAACCCGAACCCATAGGTATGTACATATGTAGGTACGAAGGAAGGTCCAAAAACTCGGATAAAACTGAATAACTGCAGTTTCATTTCATTCCCTTTGTTCGCGACACCACGAAACTCTTTTTGCGCTTGTACTCCCCTAGCCTTTTTATTTTATTTAAACCTTTTTTTTTGCAGATAAAACACTACAAACGAACTGGTCCCAGCTGGTTACGTGAGCGCGAGCGAGACGGCAAGCCAGGGGCGGCGAGTAAACGACAAATATAAATAATTTGCGATGAATAAGCACATTGAACAAAGGCCTCCAGCGCGACGTAGTTTTTTTTTTGGCTGGCGAAAATAAAGGGTTTCCATAGTTTTCCCATCACTCACCTGCGCCATTTAGCATCAGCAGGGCCGAGCATAGCAACAATTTGCTGGCGAACATATTGAATGCCGATCTGTGTAAGGTCGTGCTGCGTTTTTCCAATCCAATCTGCTCAGTTCACTCCGCTGGCAAAACTTCTGCTTGTTGTTACTTCGTCCGAGTTAGTTTTTATTTTCCCCTTTTTTCCTTCAGCTCTGGTGAATAGTGTGGCCAGGCTGCTTGATAGATTAATCCAAACAAACGAACGTAATAGCACGGCCAATTTGTTATCGATAACGATAGCAGCGCACAGGGTGTTTCATGAACAGTTGACTAGCGGAGCCTTTGAATTTAGGTCAGCTGTTTTTCGGCAGTCCCATACAAACTCAATTGTCTGAAATATATGTTGTCACGGGTAAGCTTCCAAACAGCCCCGACCTCTGAAAATATCAGATTTTCTAAATCTATTTTATATTTCTTTTTAATTACGACAAATTCATTGAAAGAAAACAGTTGAAAATTAATATTTTGAAATTATCTTCCAAAATTGGGCATGAATAAAAAAGTTGAGGGTCACGTTTAAATACACATTTTATATTCGTTTTAGTTGAATACTTTTAAATTTAAGAAGTTGAAACGAGCTGGCATCACTGGAACTTAAATCGATATTTTACAAAATGGCAACTTCATTTATGTTGTGTAGTATTGCCACCTTGGGTGAATTACTTTTACTTTTAAAATTCCGTTACATAGAAAACGAGTGTGACACAAAATATAGTTAAATATAAAATGATTCATAACTTCCGTTTAAAATATTTATTGATAAAAGTCATATTTTGGAATAGCATACCAAAAGAAAACGTTTTTGATGTTTCTTCCAACAAACTTTTCTAGGCGCTAACGTAAACCTTATTAAGTGTAATCGCCACTAAAAAATAAGGATCCCAGGCTTTTCGAAAGATAGCTCATGTGCATTAACTTTGGAAGACAGAAATTTTCGGAACAGCTAAATTCTAAAGCAAACACATTTTAATTATTTTGTTTTGAACAACTTTAATCCTTAACTATGGAATTTTACAAGAGCTTATAACCTTATAATAGCCAGTTGTTTAATTGAAAATAATTGTACTTAAATTGCAAATAGCATGCGTGCGAACGTGGCAAACTAGTAATTACTCAATCCAAGACGCCGGCGCGTTCAAAGTGCGGTAGCGAATAGCGCAGCGTCTCCGCCAGTCGGCGTGACTCGAACATCTGACGAAACTTTTGCTTGGCAAAGTCGGCGTCCTTGAAGCTCTCCAGGTTGTTGTCGGCGGTCTGGGTCTTGTCCTGGCTGATAGTGGGGAAGATGCCGTAGCTGGCGAAGAAGCCGTACGCCTCACGGCGGTGCACCTCCTCCAGGATCTGGTCGTAGCTGGGCACGGGTACGCCCAAATCAAGATCGAGCAGCGTTTTGGCCAGTCGGTCGTGGTAACAGCGCAGCAGATGTGGTCGCCTGTGACGTAGTACGTCCAGGGAGAGGCTGGTGTAGAAGAAATAGTTGAGGTCGATACCCGGACTGCCCCACACGCTCAGCTGGAAGTCGATGAGGATGAGGTCCTGCGGACGCTTTGCTGCGTCGTACTTAAACAGCATATTGTTGACCCACATGTCACCGTGGTTCAGTACCTTGATCTCCTTCTCCAGCGGCGCCTGACTACGTACCAAATTTGACCGGTGGTTCTCCATGTACTTGCCGATCTTTCCGGCGATTCGTTCAAAACCAGGCCACGAGCTCACCAGTCTGTGCAACTCCTTGCCATTTCCCGAGAAGAACTGCATTAGAAAACTGTCCTTCTCAAGTCCTCGCGGCGATAGCATGCCATCGGTATAGGTATCGAAGATGTGGGGATCCTGTGTAGTTCAGAGTGGTTTAATTAAGGATATATTGACTACCTCCGTTTAAATCATCTTACCAGAATCGCCAGGGCCATTGAAGTGGCGTGAAACTCCGCCAAGCGCTCCATGACCAGCTGGCAGTGATCCTCGTTCAAGCCTTCCTCTCGGGACGCCATCACAAAGCCCAGCTGGCCTAGGTCTTCGAAGACAAGGGTGTTCTCCGGTTGTTTTATGCACTGGTAAAGTCTGCAGAAAAGCATTCTATTGATTAACCATGTACGTCTTATCGGAAAAATCAATTAAGTAGTAGTAGTTCCCTATAATATAAAACTCTTTAAAATATTTATATACATTTGAGAAACATTACATCACTGAAAAAAATATTATAATATAAATAAATATGTTAATATTGAACTACAAATTTCATATTTAAAATAAAAATTGATAAACTATATTTATTCTTAGAAAAGTTTTACAATATTGAAAATTTTTGGTATATCAATTTCTTTTTTAGAAATCCCAATATTTCCTGTTTGAGATAAAGGATTTAAAAGATTGTTTAGCAGTAAAATTACCATACATTTATAAAAAACTATTTAAAAATGTGGAGCTCTCGGCTCTGTAAGCTTTTTATAACCATTTCTTAATTTTGGCAAAATTTTTAGGTACATTTTTAGGAGTACACATTACAATCCTTTTATTATCCCTAGTTACGACTCACTTTGGTCCGAATCGCCGCTTGCACTGCATCATGAGCTCCAGCCGGGGAAGAATTTCGTAATACGTCATCTTCTCCTTCAGATACACTTGCAGATCATTAATAAACTCCACTGAATCCAGGTGGGGAATACTCTTCACAATAAACACGATGTCCTGTTCCGGATGATCAGGACGCTTGAAGGATACTTTCGCTCGGTAAATCTGACTGCAATAGTTTTCGCCCGTGCTGCTGCCTATTCGAATATGTATGGATAACAGAGTCACCCGCGCGGTTCGTAGAGCCGTCTCCAGAACTTCCTCGAAGAAGGGTGCGTCCAGGTGTTTGGGTGGAGCAACCACGTCCGCGTCGAACGTAACGCTACACATTTTGCGATCGTTTGAAAAGTAGCAAGCTTGCGGTTCGCAATTTATACAAGTGTCGCCGGAGCTCTGGGTATGATCTGACTTGAACTCAGCAGCACAATTAATTATAGTTATGTGTATCCAGTTATGTGTAGTATTATTATTTATATAAGTATATACGTCTTTAATAGGCGACAACAAGATGTCTAATTTTTCGATATTTTTCAACACGCAAGGCTGAGACGTCGATCTTTTTGGGCGTATTTAGCTACTAACTTGATTTCCTGAGTTCTGTTTGCATCTGCTTTCCATATTGTTTGATGGATTCCACCTGCAGCGATGGACAGCTCATTATCTTATCACGTTCCGATTCGAATTTGCATTACCACAACTCGTTTTTGATAACGTAATGCTTCTCAGTCAAGTGTCAATCCAAAGTTAATTATTATTATACTCGTAATCGTTCTGTAAAGCAAATAAAAAAAATCGTTCCCAAAAATATACAACAAATAAAAACACGCTCTGTGTTTGTTTTTTGTTTATTTGGAATTACTTAATTCCATATCAACATAATATTTTTATTGAATTCAGTAAAATTTTTCAAACATTTCATTTTTCGTTACTCGTACATGACTTTGTTTTTAGGGTTTTTCTTCAAGTTTTATGTAGCTTTTGGTTGTTCTCCTTCTTCCATTTTCCGTTGATGTTCATTTACTTCTTGATGTAAGTTCCATTTAATATTACAGCTTACATATTTTATGACCTTTTAATATTTATATTTTTATAGTTAAACTTAAATAATACAAAAAGCAGTGTTTGTTTTTCGTCTTGTTACCCACATTTTTACTTTTTTTCTGTGATTTTATAGAGGATTTGTTTAACATTAATTAAAGCAATTTGAATGTTCAGATTTTCTAAAATAGACAACGAAAACAATTTCTTTATCGAATAACTTCCTTTCAGATTTATGAACTTTTTTCAACTAAAACATGTTATTGTTGTTTTAGTATATATATTTAGTAACTACTATGAATTAGAGCTTTCATTTTTTTGTATTCTTCGTAAACTAAATTTATTAAGCTTCTGCTAATTTCTCGTGTATGGGATTTTGTTAAATTATTTATTTTAATCTATTGTGTTTGTTGTAAATCAAAAACCATAAATGTATGCATACTTAATTGTAATTTTCCATTGTTTCTTCATTTTGTTTACCATTTATGTATATAACATTTGCATATATTTATATGTATATATATGCTTAGACCTATGTAGCTTAATTTTAATACAGTTTCTTTTTATTTTTCTAGTTCATTTTATTTTTCTAATGCCGCTATTTTTCCCATAATGTTTCGTTTATCTTGTAAGTATTTATACCAATTGCAAATAAAAGAAAAGTCAACAAATTTTCTTTAAATCATTTTCATATTTGTCTTTTTGCCTTGCATCTTTTGGTTTTTTTTTAAACACACCGCAGTGTTTCTCACTTTTTCTGTGGGAGATCTTAAAAAACTTGCATGTTAAGGAATTCTTTTTGCTGAAGTGGTGGCGGCGGCCTGATTTGCTATTTTTCGTAGCGAAAGTTCAATAAGATTATTGGACATATAAATATGTGATTATGTAAAGTCCTTTAAACAATTATTGAAAAACCGTTTTGAAATTTTTTTGAACATTAATTGTTGTTGCCTTGCGTTTGTATCAAGGTTTGGTTGTCGGTTTACATACAAAAATGTCAATTTTAATGGTTTTTTATATTTCTTTATGTTTTATTTTACATACATAAAAAATGGCAGTTTATATATATGCTTGTTAAATATAATTTATTTAAATTGTGTGCTAGTAGTTGCCGCTAGTGAAGAATGGAAAGTCTTTAAAGTAATCTTATTTTTTTTTGGAGTAAATGGCAACCGCTGACAGGCGAGACCAATTTGAGACTGAAGAGAATTAACATTTAATTGAATTTTTGTAAGCTATAGGGTTCAAACATTTACTTGGCAGTTTTCTTCTTTTATGTGTTTATTATAT